GATAAGAAGTGTTGGGGCTCAATCTAAAAATGTTCTGAGAAATGATCATATTTTAGCTGCTGCACATGCTACCGACACTTCAGATCACACTTTCACTGTTCACACTTCGGGAACGGTGTGACATGAGGGGGCTTCATATGCTGCTTGATGCTCTGACAAACACCCACTTTTAGAACGTTTAATGTGATCGTTTTTGTCTGTAGAAAACTGAGACCATCCTGGTGTTTTATTTGAACAGTCGCGCGTCCTGCTGCCGTCCACCAACGGCGTTATTCTTCACATTACCACCAGACGACACCAAATTACACCGTTTGAGCAAGACGAGGCAGCGGGCGGCTACCTTGGCTCTGTGCTGACTCAGCATGGTGACGATGTCCAGATGACCGGCTGCTGCGGCGAATCCCAGTGCAGTCAATCCGTCTTGTGACTGAGCATCCACCTGGAAGTGCAACACAGGAGCTGAAACGGTCGTCTCTCAGGATTACGTTGTCATAAAGTGAGGCAAAACCTTAGCACTAGTTTTCACCTGAGCTCCGTGGTCGAGCAGCAGCGCCACGGCGTCGGCGTGGCCCAGGTGAGCGTGAGCGCACAGCAGGGGGGCGTTGTTGAGGACGTCGCTACGGTAATCCACGTCAGCCCCGCCTGTGATCAGCAACCTGCTCACCTGGACGGGTGGAGAGCCAAGTTACAGTCCGCCCGTATCAGCAAATGTATGCATATATATGTGTGTGTGTGTGTGTGTGTGTGTGTGTGTGTGTGTGCAGCGTTTTACCTTGATGTTGGGGGTGTAGAGGTTGCGCAGCGATGAGAGGACGGGGCTCAGGCTCTCTGTGCTGTAGGACATCCACAGCCCCTGCAAAACTGACGAGGAAACCCCAAGCTTTTTGCTCAGACCCTGGAGAACGAGAAGAAAACAAAAACCCTTTTCAGACGTGGATACGGAACACTGCGGCTTCATCGATGTGTGAAAGCGACGGCGTTCTGTCATTCAGACTGAGGTCACTTTAAATTAACGTTCCTCGTGGATTCATTCAGACGAAGCCACCACAGCTGAAGGAGAACCACGATACGCTCACGAGATTGAACAGTAAACTAAATATATAACACATAATAATGCACTAATAACAAAAGACTAAATCTAAACTAATACCCTAGATCATTAGTTTCAAAGATTAGTCATTTTTAAAGAAATGTGGTAAATTAATTGCTAAAAAACTGCTGTTTTGCTGCTTAAATTATTGAACATTTTCCACCCGTTACTTTTGTGATCTGCGGACTTCATTGCCCAAAAAACATAGTGGTCTCCTTATAAGCTTTCATTAATTCTGCTTTGATTTCTAACCCGCTGAGAGTCCTGTCTATGCTGAGCTACTGAGCTTGCCTTGTAGATGTGAGCCTTCAGGATGTGATGTCCGAGCTCCAGTGTCTGCTGTCGGTTCAGCTTCCCCTCTTGTCTGCAGAGCCAAAAGGCCAGAAGAGTGTGTCCACTCCTGGAGACAAACAAACAGATGTTTCAGTAAAAACACCTCCCCTCTATCTTTTTTCTTTCGTTGCCTCCCAGCCGTCCGTCGGTGTACCTGGGGTCGCAGAGGAACCTGTCGTCCTGGCCCTCCTCCCGCCACACCAGCCACTCCCTGAAGGAGGCGTGGTTTAGCATCCTGCTGCCGTCGCTTCGCCGCAGGAGGAAGGAGGAGAGCTGCTCCAGGCGCTGCGAGAACTCGGCCCACTGCAGGGTTCCTCCGGTCACGGCGCCGGCGTTCACCACCTCGAACAGCTGGAGGAGGAGATGAGGAGACGTAAGGTCACCTATCAGATGTACTCTTGCATTTTTTACTATATTAAAATACGTCCACAGACTCAAAAGTCTGAAGTCATGCAAACAACTCATCATATATTAAAACTATCATATTTAAAAGTTTCCCACTTGTGAGACGAGCTAAATGCTAACATCACACGCCACCATGTTACAATGACAAAGCTATTCTAAAGCTAAATGCAGCTGAGGCTTATGGGAACGTAGTTCTTTTTGCAGGTATGTGGTCATAAGAAAAATTCCAACCTGCTGGTCGGTCAGCGGGTGCAGCGACGCCACGGTGACGTTGAGCAGAGGCAGGACTCTCTGAAAAGACGACTGGGTGGGAAACTTCATGTTGAGCTGCAGCAGGTAAACCTCTGCTAGACTCACAGGAACCACCTGGAAACACAAATACACAACAATAAAAGGCTTGAAGGGTTCACTGTAGATCAAACTGTCTAAGTAACAGAAGAACTGATTGACTGCACTGGAGGAGAAACTAAATGATCACCTACACATGTAAATTAGTGAACTTCAGACGTTTCAGCTGCTCACTTTTCAACTCGACTACTTCGACTGACGGTTTCCAAACTATCACCGCTTTTGTAAAATATGACTTTCAGCCGGTTTCTAAAACTATTTCCAGCACTTCTGCTGAAATTTCAACAGCGCTGACGTTCAGTTGCTTTCTTCCCCGACTCTTGGAAATGACATCTCAGCTGCTTTAATCTTTTTAGCTTCAGTCAACAGTTCAGCTGCTTTCATCCTCCACACGTCGACTTCACCGTCACCGCTCGCACACAGACCGACACTTGAGCTGTTTGTAGTGAATGCACAACCGCCTCCGGGACTTCAACTCAAATTTTAATAGCTTTTCTGATTCTGATTCATTAAAACACAACAACGTTCTCCTCTGGCAGTTACTCTTAAATCTAAGTACTTGTATAATTCATTTGACAGTTCAACTGATTTCACTGCTACCTTGAACTATTATCGTGATTTTATTGGACACTGGCTTGTATTTAACTTCTGTTCAAACTAGGGACAAATAATTCATTAAATTCGTCCCAAAATTAAAATTTGAAATGATGCAATGAGAAAAATGCAAAAGCTAATATTTAGGATAAGCATTATGCAACATGTCTGACGCAGGATTAACTTTTATTCTAATTATTTTATTTAACTTGAGCCACGAATGACGTCCCTGTTGCAATCAATACTTTCTTATTGGAATTATTCTATTTTGATTTCATTTTACATAATGTAGACACAGCTTTTGTGAAAATTGTTTAATCTTCTACATCATTTTAAAAATGCAGTAAATTAGGGACGATATATCGGCAACCACATCGGTATCGGCTGATATTAGTGTTTTTTTCCGATATATCGGTCCGATGAACAAATTTAGCCGATGATTGTCCAACATTAGCGCCTTCGTCTCCACATTTGATATTGCTGCTATTTCACAGATGTTTTTACTTAAATGGTGCTTTAACGTTAAATATGTTAAAACATATTTAAATATGTTTTGTTATAATGTGGTCTGATTTGGGCTCCTTTGAATAGTTTTCTCACAGTGCGTACTTACACTCACTTTTCGCTGTGAGCAAAAATTGAATATCGACATCGGTAATATCGGTTATCGGTGATATCGAAAATCTTAATATCGGTATCAGCCAGAAATTTTAATATCGTGCATCACTGCACTACACGTTTGGAACAATTCATTCCTTTCGTTCTCATGCTTGCTATAAAATATGTAGCGTTAATATTAAGATGGTGCCTCGTGTGTTTGTTCTCCATCACACGTTTTAAATCCAATACACAGCAGATCGATCGAATTGAACTGAATATCGAACTGAAGCTTTAAAAAATTATACTAAAAATCGCAATATCTGATGGAAAACTGCAAATGGCCATTTTCTTTTTAAATCTTCAAGCACAAGGCCCACCCTTTTTTCCCCACTGTTCAGCTAGTTTGAGTTTTTGCATACAATCTGACAACAGAAGCTACCTGCAGGATTTAAATTTATGCTTGTGTTATGACACCACTACTTTTAACACAAACACTTCAGTGCTCCAGCTGTTTCTGTGACTTGAACTGCTAACAACAATTCCACAGCATAACAGAGTGCACTTTCTCTTTCTTCAGAGTATTCAGCCTTCCTCAGTCCTTCCCTGCCCCTCCCTCACCTTGAAGCTGGAGCTCTTCAGGACTAGATACCCCCCCTCTATCAGGTCCAGGGTCAGTTTCAGGTAGAGGTACGAGCCTCTGCTCAGGCTCTTCAGGTGGCTGATCAGCTTGGCCAGCGCTGTGTTGTCAAGGCGGCCGTTGCTCAGCGACACGTTGCTCTGGATCTCGGCGCTGCTTTGGATACGCTGCATGAGGTAACCCTGAGAAAACGCACACATAGACTCAGTACAGATGTGCAGAAAGACAGAAAAACACAAACAGGCGGTTGTGTATGTTACCTGCAGGTCCCTGTCTATGGCGCTGTTCTCCTCCATCCTGTCCAGGGAGATGCGGTGGAACGGCAGAGAACGAGTGATGTCCTGACGGAAACAAAACACAAAGATATTTTATAATTCTGATAAAGTTTTGTTTCTTAGCGAATCCAATCCCAGTTTGGATTTTGCTCACTGTGGTCTGCCAAAGTCAGACGTCGGTTCAAGCAGGCTGAACAGGCGACCGAGCTTTCCACAGTCACACAGCAGACGTGCAGTTTGTAGTAATAACGGTGATCGATTTAGCTTTATGAATAAAGGGACTCTGAATTGCTAAGATCCATCGGAAGACATAAGCAGCTTCTCATTTCAAGCAGCTAGGCAGCTAGTTGAGTTGCTGTTGTACACTTTTTCACATTGGTAGCGAAATCGTGTCAAAACAAACCTGCGAGGAGAATCTTAGAGTCCTTCTCCAGTCACTGACTAAACTCAGAAACACTCATCTCTATGTATCACATATAAATACTTAGAAGCTGCTTTCATTAAACAAATCGTCCCTTCCTGCCTTTACATGGCTTCGACGTAACTCGACACTGTTGCTTCCTTTATCCTTTACAGTCTGATAAGCCCCCTGCCTCTATCTACACCCCATCCATGTCACTCGCTTTAACTCGAGCACACCAGCTCACTTGCAAGTTGTAACACTGAGTGATTCAGCCATACATGTCAGAACTGATTGTAAAAAAAAGAATAATGAGGCAGAAAGCTTGACCCTGAAAACCGACAGGATCGGCTCCTTAGATTTGTTGAAACCCTGGAAGTCTGAGTCTGTGTTTAGGAGACTGTCATCAATGCACTGCAAGTTCAAGGTGGAAATACTCAGTCATGGTGTTGGCTGATTATTTTGCCCATGATGTGATGAAAAAAAAGCACATATGGACAGGATAACAATGTACAAAAATTGATTTTAAATACTCATTTTAGACATATTCTGAGGAAAAGTTCAGCCTCTGCTGGCTTACATGCTTGTTTGTATTTTCAATATAAAAGCTAATTTTTTTCATCAAATGGTCCAAGGCTGGGGCTGCCTGAAAACTCTCCCAAATCCAATTAGGAGCATGACAGAGGCTCTAAAGTTAGATTAAACTCTGACTGCACCCCAAAGACACACACACACTGGGGAATGATGTAACCTAGTTAGTTCATGATGTGGTCTTTGGCCTTAAGCTTTGATTACACTCCCTTACAGACACGCACGGGGGCGGCTACACAATGAATGGTTAGCTGTGGCTATTTTCCAGACCATAGGAGACCCTCACGTGGTCACGATTGGGAAAGGATACGACTGGCCTTAGAGATAATGTGAAGGCTACTGCTAGTAATCTGGACAATCCATGCACCTTAAGATCAACACAAAGTTCAGCTCAGTCGTGCAGCTTTTTGTGCTTCTTGTCATCTTTGTGTCTGTTTGTGTGTTTACCTGCTGACCGGTCCTGACAGTGGTGATGACCTTCAACCAGGACGGGAATTTCTGGATGTTTCGGGTCAGGAAAGAAGTCAGCGTGTCACCGTAGTCCGGCCGGTGGAACTCCGCCTCATTCAGCCCATCAATTAGTACAATAAGCCCCGCTCCCTCCACATGCAACTTCCTCTCTGGGGGGGAAAAAAAACCAAAACAACAACAATGTTGATCGTTACAGTCCCCGACTTTACAGAACAGAATCTAACAGAGAACGGTAGAATCGGTATGCACCTCTGTGGAGAGCGTCCAGCGGTTCCAGTATCCCTCTCTGAAGGGCGGCGCTCGGGTCCTGGATGCAGGAGCGCAGACTGAGCATGCTCTGCAGGTGCGGCGACCGGTGCAGCAGCTCCCGATAGGCCGCCAGCAGAGGGGCTTCGCTCAGCATCGCCGCCATGTTGTGGACGAACTCCGGCACCAGACAGGTGTGGCAGTTATCAGCCTGACAGAAATGATACGAGACCACCTGCAAGGAGACGGACAGGAAGGAAGTGTGCTCGTTATCGGCGGATTCTCAGTTCATGGGCTTTTTGACATTTCTGCTGGAGAGAAGTTTGGCGGTGAAACAGCGACAGAAATCAGTAACATGTGTATTAATGTATGGAGCTAGAGAAGAACATGACTCTAATGTGTGAAGGGTAAATTTACAGCTACAGCCAGCAGCTGCTTAGCTTAGCTTAGCATTTAGTCTGAAAAATGACCCTGCCTGGAATTAGTCACTGTAGAACTACCTCATATAAACGGGTTTTACATTTTAGTTTTTGTATGTAAACAAACAAAATATAACGTGTTAATTAATATGTATTTGTAGTTATATTTAACGGTTATCTTTGAAGGTAGCCGTTTCGTACTTTCCAGGTACCTTATGCTACTTTACGTTTGATGCAACATGTACTTGTAGCTGGTTAAAGTAGCATAAAGTAGAAATACAAGCAAATTACAAACACCTAATTAATGCAATGATTTAAACAATTTAGTGTTGTTTTGCAGATTTTAAATATTTAATTATGAATAATGACCGAGTAAAATCATGGAAAAACTATCAATTAACAGGTTAACCCTAAAACAATGACTCAATTCTTTTGCAGCTTTTCATAGTATTTTTTCTGTATTTAAATCAGATTTTTTTTAAAACTAATTTTACTGATATGTGCCAATTTTTGTAAAAAAAATTTAAAAAATTAAAAAAAAAAAGTATCTTAGGGATTCAAAAATGGTACGTATTTTTTTAAAGTAAATGTTTACAATAATGAAAAAAAAAAAGATTTTCCCTTTTTAAAAAAAAATAAAAATAAAAAATAAATATTGAGTTACAGATAATAGGCAGTAAAATCCCCAAAAAATGTTTACATGTTGACTCAAAAAAAAAAAAAAAAAAAAAAACATTTTAGCCTATTTGTATATAAGGTCATCAAATATCTGTATTTTTTTTTAAAAATAGGATTATATTCTTTTACCATGTGTGGCCACAAAATGACACGGTTTTTACTGTTTTTAAATAAGACAAATATCATTATTCACATATATTTGCTGTTATTTGCGAAATGCTACAGTATCACATTTTTTAATGTATTTTTTCTTGCACATGTGCTGTCAGTTTTTTCTTTTTTTTCTTTTTTACAGTGCACTAATCCCTCCCAGCACACAGTAGATCTACAGTAGGGATCAGTGAGGATGCTACCTGTCCAGCGAGCCTCCTCAGCCCCTCCTCCTGTCTCCTCCTCATCTCTGGAGTTCCCGGACAGCTTCCTCCTCCTCCTCCTTCATCTCCTCCTCCTCCTCCTCCTCTTCCCAGGGAATCGTGGGAGAAAGAAACCGGCTCCACATCTGGAACACCAGCAAAACATGTGAACACACAAACAATCTCCCTCTTTCTTTCTTCTTCTTCTTCTTCTTCTTCGCAGCTGCAGCAGCTTTCCTTCACTCCTAACAGCATGCACGCTGCTTTGGTGTGTGTCTTTTTGTTCCACTGCATGATTTAAGTGGGTTTCTCTGGCGGTTGGCTCAGCTATGTGTCTGGTTGCTGGTCGTGAGCCTGGCGGGTTTTTATTAGCGTTCTGTACGATGACTCAGCGCTTTCTTTCGGATGAGGAAGCGTGTAAATAAGGTTCTGTTCATGGCTGGAGTGACTTGCTGGGGGTCCATTGGCAAAGCTGCTGCCAAAACTGATGTATGTCCTCCCCCTTCAAGCACACACAAAGCCTTTTTGTCTCCAGACCTGGATTGTACACAATATTCTTACACAATTTTTTTGGCATCTTGGACAGTAACAAATCAATAGGAAACATTCGGTACAGTGAATTAAAACAGAAAACTCCGATCTACAGATGTTTCAGAATATATTCAAACCGATTTTGGTTTTTAGTTGCTTCTGCCCACGATCTACACTCAAAGGCCCGTAATGACAAACTGAAAACATGTGTTTAGAAACTTCCGCAAGTTTATTAAAAGGCGACTAGAACTATTTTTCTGCTTCCACTGACCAGTCAAATTGCAGCTTGCGTTCCCATCTGTCTAGACTCGTGTGACTTATGTAGGCTCAAAGCAAAGACAACAGCTTCTCTGCTGCGACGCTACATTCATCGATGTCATATGATAACTTTTTCTTTACTCTCGCTCTGCTTACGTTTGGGTATGGTCTGACTCCCGGCCGCGCTCGGCCACATGCGGTTGCCGTGACAACTGAGCGCCACCAGACGGGCGATGATGGCCGTTTTGCCGAAGCCCATGTTGCCGACGATCACCACGCCCCGTCCGGTCGCCGGGTTGTCGCTGCGGAGGCACGCGTCCACCTCCTGGAAGAGCCACCCCCTGCCGGTGAACAGCCAATCAGACGAGAGGCCGGGGACCTCGAAGTGGAGGGGCTTCAGGTTGAGGGAGGGGGTGAAACGGACTGCAGGAAGAAGAGAGAGAGGGATACGCTGCTTATTAAGATAACTGCATGTCTGTGGGTTTAACAGCGTATCGGTATGTGTGTTTACCTCTGTGGTCCGGTTGACTACGACTCCCAGAATTCTGTCGGGGCATTCTGAGGGACGTCCTCGAGGGGATGTGTCTCTGCTGCTCATCCAGATAGGCCAGATCTTCAAGGTGGGCCGTACTGGTGGCTAGAGAGAGAGAGAGAATGGGAAAGAAACGTTCACAGACAGTAGGAGGTAGAAGCTTTTCCAGTCTGCTCCAGTCTGAATTCTAAATACAACAAAGATCAAGTTTGGTTTCAGGTTCGGGACAAATGCTGATCATCTAACAAACTGTCGTCTCGTTTTGCTCCCAAGAAGCAACAATGAAGCATTTTCAATTCACAGATTGAATTTTGAATTGACCCAAGGGGATAAATAAAGTTTGAACTGAATTCTTCCTCCAAGCAGTGCTGGCTGAGGCTCATGGGTAATGTAGTATAAAGAATCATAACAAACTCATTGAGAAAATAGGATTTCACTGGCAATGTGTTTACTGGGGAAAAACCAACACAGTCTATTACGTTATAACATTTAGAAGTGTTGGTCGGCGTCTTTGTAACTTTGCAGAAAGCTGTTTCCAGTCTTCATGCTAAGCTAGGCTAAGCGTGTCTTGACGCCTGCTCTATCATTTGGGGAAACACACTTCATCAGACCCCGTCAGAGCATGATGGGGTGGAAGTGGCCGAAACGCACAGGCAGTACTTGGCTGCTGATGCCAGTTTAGTTAGCGGTCAAAATTCTGTTTCCACCATTGGCAGCAACAGGGAAGTGGCAGGCAAGATACGCTCCATCATTCCCATCCGCGTTTACGTCCGCACACACTGAGCACGCTCGCTGCGTGTGACGTCGTCATGTAATCTTCTGCGATTGCGGGACACTTTTGGGTCGTATGAAGTTCACACAGCAGATCACATACAAGTCGCATTTAATTGGAAATGTGAAGGAACTCACAAAAAAAATCGATTTCACAAAAAAAATCTGAATTGAGCATCAAGTCCTGCAGTGTGAACGTAGCCAATCTGTGGGATTGTTCAGTCAGATAATACGCTTTTATCCTGATTTGTGACATAAAATGTCATGTCGGAGTCAGAATCCAAGGTTGTTGGTATATTAAGGCTGTTTTTAATGGGTTCAGTTTGTTTTTCCAAAAAACTTGTCGGATAGCAAGGCTCAGGATTGTTAAGGGTCAGGTTATTGAGTCAGGACTGTATTGTGTTTGTGCGACCTAAAAATGACAAAAATGACAAGTCGTAGTGTTGTAAGATGTTTTGACCAGGAGCAGTGGCTTCCTATTTTTTTCATTGGTTGCTTGGCAACTTCATAGTCAAGTCAAGAAACCACATAAATGTTCCTGAATGGTGCGCAACACTGAATTCAATGGTCCCTTGTATGTGATCTTTGTGCTCAAGTGTCGATGGTAACAAATGAATCCCCAACTGTACGAACACATCATAACGTCTGAATACGACGACAAAAAAACCCAGAATCTGAAAACACTGGCAGCTTGTGTCAAGGCCAACAGCAGTCACTCAAATTTATGGTTAAAAGTAATAAAATATTCCACTGAGGGATCTATTGTTAGTGAAGGGCAGACAGGATCAGCGAGATATTGTCCGAGCAGTGCTGAGTCTTGAGTTCCCGCTACAGCTGCTCTAAAGCTGAGCTGAAAGCCAACAAAGCGCCGATAATGTCAGAGACTTTAAGGTGCCTCCACTCCAGATAAAAAAACAGACAGAAACGTACCATAAGTTTGATCCAATCAATCCAGTTACATTCCTCTGAAACAGCAGAGAATCTGAGCGCTGGCTGTGCTTTGTATCCTGCCTCTATATGTGTGTGAGAAATGTCATACATGTCACTTCCTTCCTTTCCCAAAGGACTCGTAGTTTTTAGCTTTTATGAAACACACCGAGACAGAAGGAGGGAAGGGAGGACGAGGTGTGAACAGGCGTCTTCTCCGTATTTCAGCTTGGCGGTTTTGTGTCGACACATTCGGAACAACAGACACAGTCAGAGCTCATTATCACCTCGTTTTTACATTTCTGCTTGTGTATGGATCAAACAAATGAGAAACGAGTGCTAATAAGGCAGCTTTAGGGGTTTTATGTCAGAGCCTTTTTATTTGCCAGTGTTTAATGCACAAGACTGGCATCAATCTTCCTATTTTACTGCAAGTATACGTCTGAAATGGTCGTCAAGTTAAAGGTGTCTACATGATAGAACATTAATGAATAACTGAGCTCTGTGCTGGTAAAGCTAAACAAGGGGTAAACTACAGATACAGACAGAAATGAGCTTATTATTTACTTTTCTCGTGACAATATATATATATATATATTTTTTTTTTATCAAGGGCATAGATTTGGTTTTAGAAAACAGGTAGTCTCATATGCACCACACTCCGTCTTGTTCATATGACTTTATACCAGTCGCTGTTGTTTTCGTGAAACATGAAATACAGCAAATTATGTCAAAATCGCGCTTCACATAATATTAAAAAAATGAACTTTTGCATTGTTAATCTACAGATCTTACTTAAAGTCATTTTTCAAGTTTTCTTTTCTGTCTTATTCGAGAGTTAAATTTAAGGAGGTCGCAAATAAAGTTTGCAGTGTGTTTTTCAGCCCCGAGTGGTGTCTCCAAGGTTCAGAAAACAACCCTGACAACCTTGTAGAAGCCAATAACGTAACAGCGGCCGATTATGTAATTAATGTGCCATTTTCAAAATGCAATAGGCCGATAATGTAACAAAAGTCCTGAACCAATAACGTAATATCTTTTCAGAAGTTATTATGTTTTCGGTTCAGGACTTTTATTACATTATCGGCCTATTACATTTTAAAAAGTGCCAATTTATTATGTTATCAGCCATTGTTACGTTATCTGCCATTAATACCCTATCATGTTATTGGTCGTCATTACGTTATCGGCCATTACTACGTTATCCGCCGTTGTTGTGTTATCGGCCGTTACTATGTCATCCGCCGTTGTTACGTTATTGGCCGTTATTACATTATCGGTCATTATTACGTTATCATGTTATTGGCCGTTATTACATTATTGGCTGTTATTACGTTATTGGCCGTTATTACGTTATCAGCTTCTACAAACCTTCACTGATCACACAAACAGGCAGAATTCAGATGGAAGTGATGGGAAAAAAAGAACGTAACCACGCTGGGACAATTACTGTTAGGGCTCTTGTTGAAAATAAAAAAAAATTAACCACAGCTGACATGAAATCATCCTCATTCATTTCGCTGTAAGTGTGATAAACTTTAAGCCCTGAGTGGACACACAGTTCTCATGGTTTTCTCGCTATCAGCAGTGAGCTCACTATAACTAAGAAAGAGTGACACATTTCCTTCCTGACAGGAAAGTGTGTGTGTGGGAGCGGACTGCAGGAATGGAAACCACTTGACTTGACTTCTCTACACACACACACGCCGGATCCATTTGCCAACTTACCAGCGACTGAATTGGGGCGGGGCATGAGGTAGAGGGGGATGGAGTGGGTGGAGCCGGGACCTCGGTCCGGGTGCAGTTTATTGAGGCTGTAAGTGGAGGCGGCCATGTGGTCCTCCACCCTGTACAGGAAGCAGTCGTTCGCGCTTCCTGCTGCCGCCATGCAGGAAGACGAGGTGGAGGCCACCACCGGCCGACCTCCCTGCTGCCAGAGGTTGAGGCTGCTGCCATGGTAACAGTCGCTAGGATACTTGGGGCTGTCGTCCCTCTCGGCAGCCGAGTCAGCAGAGTAGCTGGTCAACGTGGCTGGAAGACAAAAGGAAAGGAAACGTGTAAAGCGACGGCAGTTCAGCACTTTAGTGGTCGGCGTTGGAGGAAACGGTGTCTCACCGATGATGCCGCTGTCTCTGCTCTCCAGCGTTGAGGAGGGGGAGGCAACGGAGGCGTGGCTGGGGGAGGTGTGCTTGTTGTTGTTGTTGCCCTCCCCTCCAGCAGGAGGCTGCAGTGTGGAGCAGGGGGAGGTGTTGCTACTGGCCAGACTGGAGGAAGGAGACATCCTCTGGGGGAAAGACAAGAGACGCAGAGAAATTTTATTGCGTATACGTGCATTAAGATATAAAAGATTTACTTGTAAATGATCAGATCACATTTTACTTCCAGTTATTGGAGAAAATCAGGTCATTCCAAAAGAGTTTTCCGTTTTTTTTCTTCTCACCGAAACATTATTTATCATTTAAGCTTTTCAGTTTGAAAGTGTTTCGGAGGTTAAACTCAACCTAGACGAGCGCGAGCCGGTTACCTGTCCGTCATCCTGGCCGTGGTAAGCAGAACCTGGCTCTCCACCCACGACCTTATCCCCCAGCAGGAAGCCCAGCCGGGTCATCAAAGCATCAGCCGCCTCGTCCACGGAGGGGGGCGGTCCCAGCTCCTCATCCTCGCCTGGAGAGTGACGAAGAGGAAATGGTTCTACGCTAGTCTCAAACTGAATTGTGACATAAACACGACCCAGAAACAACCTCGGCACAAACCGTCAGCAAGGGATGAGAGAGCAATTCTGAAACTGAGCTCGCACCAAATCGGAATTTTTTCGTCAAAATATGTTTAGAACATATGAAATCTTCTTTCTCAAATCTTGACCCAAAGATCTTAGATTTGTTTGGCCCCATACACCGCTAATATGGAAGCAGCAGCTGTAAATGAGAGCTACAGACTCGTTGCATTGTGAAAATAAGACGTCATAATAACACAAGATAACAACTGTATGAAATTTTCATATGCAAATATTTTGTCTTTTTTACTTTATAATAGTTCATATGGAAACTATGAGCACATTTAGAGTCCAACTATATTTTAAAATTAAAAAATAAACTATATTTTTACAGTTTTCTATAATAAACATTTTCTTGTCATTTCTGTAATGCTATTTTTTGCCATATATAACATATGTTGGTGTCAGTATTGTCCTTTACGCTCGAAATAATTTATTTTCTGACCACCTGGTGCTACAGAAAACCAAAAAATGTCAACAAACAAGTGACAAAACATCAACTTTTAAAACTATACAGCAAAGTTATGAGCAAAACCGACCTATTCACATGTCTAGCTTCTATAAAGCAACCTTAAAATGCAACATACTCCAACATTCACTCTCTTTTTTATCTCTGTTTTAGTCTCAACCAACTTCTGCAGGAAATCACCCGGATCAGTGGTCGCTAACCTTCACGCTCCATATAATCCGTGCAAAACTTGCGTCCTTCCCATCAGTTTTAAGTTATATGGGTACTACCACAACATGAAAGCAGCGACTTTCACACTGACGCATTAAACTCGGAGACCTTCTGAATCAACTGATTAACACTCAGCAGGGTTTGTGACTCCAAGCAGCTCCTCTCACACACAACTGGTCATGTGACTCATTATGAATATTCAGGATCCCGGCTAAAAATAAATAATTCAACATTTTGCTAAATATGCATATTTGCCTTCCTGCTGCGAGTTAAATGAGGAGGACCCAACAGAATAGTATGAAGCAGCTTAGCTTAGCACCAAGACGATCTTCCAAAGCTAACAACATCCACCTACAGGTACCTCTAAAACTCACAAATCAGCTTGTTACATATATCTATGGGCTGAACTATTCCTTACATGGGATCACTGACATCCTGAAATGGACGAGACTAAACATCAGTGGGAGGTGCTGCAAGGAAGGTTTCTTATCTTTGGATGGAGACAGACCGGCTGTTTATATTAAAGTCTCTCTCTGGTCACTGAACAAACCAATAAAATGCAATCCTGTGTATCAAAATGACGTATTTAGAAGCATTTTGAATGAAAATAATCCCCTTCTGCCTCAAAATGGCTTTGATGTAACTGTACGCTGCCGCCTCCTCTAGAATTTGCAGATCTGTGAAGTCCCGACCTCTCTCCTGCTCGAGCACACCAGCTCACCTGTCAATCTGCTCTACGTTATACAACAAGAAAGCCTGCAAGTCGACAGGGCGTTTGTGCTATAGCAAACCCCAGAACTGTGGCACACTGCCGTTACAAGATGGAAATGATAAAAACATATGAACCTGTCGACAAGGTAAAAGTTCATTTTCACAAGAGGGGAGGCTTCAAGCTAAGCTAAGCAGCTGCTACAGACATGAAAATGTTATCGTCCTCCAAGAAAAGCAAAAAAAAGTGAACTATTCCTTTAATATCAGCCATGCCAGTGTGTTACTGTGCAGAAAATCAAGCAACGAGCATAGCTGCCGTGATGAGGGGGGAAAAAAAAACTCAAGTAAAACACGAACTGACCACCAGATGACCCAGAAAAATCCTCCAACATTTATTTCACTCTCGTTAATGACCACAGAAATTCACTGTAAGATTAAACCGACTACAGTCTGTTGCCCTGGCGACCCGTAGCCCCGCCTCCTCACACCGGTCAGGTAGAGAAATGGCTTTAAAATTGCTTCATAAATCTATCCAATCAAAGGAGATTATGAAAATAGAACAAATCATTAGAGAACTTAATATCAAACGCACACACACACACACACACACACACACACACACACACACACACACACACACACACACACACACACACACACACACACACACAGAAGAATGTGAGCCACAGCATGAAAGCTCATACTCTGTGTGTCTCCCCGACGGTCTGTAATTACAGCTATAAATTGCTGACTGTTGGACAAAATACTGGAGAAGCATCGCAGACGCACACACACTGAAAACACAACCAGCCAAACACAAAGCGTGTGTGTGTGTGTGTGTGTGAAAGCGTGTGTGTGTGTGTGTGTGTGTGTGTGTGCGAGTGTGTGCGTGTGTGGTCAGTCAATGACAGGGTGTGCGAGTCTTTTTTAGAAGAAGAAAAATAAAATGGAAAGATCAGATAGACGGCGCAGCGCAGACTTTTCCATTTCTGTCTCGTTAACTAGTCCAGCTTCTGATTCCTTGTGTCGGCCGCTCGGCCCTTCATCCCTCCATCCTCTCTCATCTCCATCCTTCTTCTTCTTCCCTTCACTCCTTTATTCTTTCCTTCATTTCTTTCTCTTCCATCCTTCTTTCATCTCTGTCTTCCTTCCTTTTCGTCTCCTACCTCCTCTCTTCCTTCTTTCCTATTTCTCTTTCTGTCTTCTTTTCCTTCTTTCGATTACTTATCTCCTTTGGCTTCCTTCTTTCTTTCACTGGTTGCCTTTATTCCTCTCTTCCTTACTTTCCCATCTTTTCTCCTACATCCTTCCTTCCTTCCTTCCCTCGTCTCTCCTTTCTTTCTCTCTTTCCATTTTTTCTCCTCGTCTTCTCTACTATCCTCGTCTATCTATCTCTACTATCCTTCATTCCTTTTTCCTTCATTTTCTTCCTTCCTTCCTTTCCTGTCTTTTCGCCTATATCCTTCCTTCCTTCCTTCCTTCCTTCCTTCCTTTCCTCTTCTCTTCTTTCTTCCTCGTCTTCTCTACTATCCTTCATTCCTTTTTCCCTTCAATTTCTTCCTCTTCCTTCCTTTTTGTATTTCTGTCTTTCTTCCTTCTACCATTTCATTTTTTTCTCTCTTCTTCTTTTTTACGTCCTTCTCTCCATTCTGTCCGTCCTCTTCCTTCCTCCCTTATTTTCTTTCCTTCTGTCTTTCCTCGCTTCATTTCATCTTCTTTCCTCCTTCTGTGTCGATACCTTCATTCTACACTTTCTTTCTCTGTCGTCCCTTCTGTCCTTTTTCTTTCCTCCTTACTTCTTTCCTTTTAATCTCATGTTCCTTGTCTCCTATGTCCTTACATCCTCTCCTTTCTTTGTGTGGGCTCAGTGTCTCCACCCTAAGAGGCGTTATGGGAAACACAAACTGTAACTAACAAACTAGCAACCACAAAAAAACACAACTTCATCCTTGATACTCTACATCACCACCCCAGGTTCTGTACATTGTTTTAGTCTGCAGGCCAGTTTTCATCCCCTTAGACGACGACACCTCTTCCCCGACGACGTCCTTTGACACCTTCAGCATCATCACTCAGCCTTTGAGTTGGTATTGACTGTTGCTATCAAGGCTGCCAATATCAATATTCTTCTAAAAACCAATGTCTGTGGAAGTACGAGGTCTGTTTTAATCAATCAAGCTGACACTTTGTGGTCACAGAGGCCACGCAAGTCATTCTATGAAAATCAACTCAATCTAAAAAGCACATGCATGTTTATAACACAGCTAAATCTCAGTGTCAGCACCAGCGGTCGTGAGGCTCGTCCTGCTCATTGTGGTTCTAAAAGAAATGCAAAACTGTACAATGGTGCAGTGATATTAACACAATCCAACAACTGAGTTCACTCTAAATGGGACCATCATTTACGAAGGAGATTTCAAACTTTATGGATCGGGACCATAAAAATATCGGGAAAGTGTTTACAAAAGTCATAAATCAAGGTAGAACAGGGGTCTTTTTCTCATTGCCTTTTTATATGATTTGCCACGAGAAGAGTCGCCCCCTGCAGGTCATGAGAAAGAATGCAGGTTTAATCCACTTTTGCATTGGCTTCGCTTTTTAGAGGCTACATGGAGACTTCTTACGTGTGGTTGACAACCCAACTGTGTCAAAATATAATGGTCCCAACATGGGTAGAGAACAATAAACTGCCAATTCATGACCATCAGCAAGCCAAGAAAGCCCAAATGTGTAATTTTCTGGCACACTGCGATGCCTCCATCGTATACAGTAATCGTAATTATTGCTAATGTTTATAATTCTGTCTATCTGCCTGTAAACATGAAGTGAATTATTGTAAATTATTAGGCTTCTTGTTAATATTTAAACCTACACCCACAACTGACTGATCACAACTGTTGTAATTAAGAATCATTTGACATTTTCTATTATTATGTATTTACTCGTTCACATCTTCACTGTCAGGTTTACTGATTGCTTTCACAACATGCACAATCCAGAAACATCTATGCAGCACTATTCACCAAAAATAAGGAAAGTTATTTAAAGGGGAACACATTTTCAATCCCATGTCTTCTCCAGCCGGCTTTAATTTAAGTTTTTTATTTTGAAAAAAGAACCCTAAAATCACAAATCACGTGACTCCTGCTGATCCAACTGAACACCCAGGCATCATGTAAATCATTCAGTCGTCAGTTCATTTATTGAGCCCATAAACTTCTGAGTGTCGCATTAAAGATTAATAGAATAAAGTAGCCGACTGGATTTAAATCAGCCGTCAGGTGTTTGGCAGGCAGCCGGCTGGATGAAATCGGCTCGACGGCACCGTTTAGCATCTAAAGTGAGAGTCTTAAATTTTCATGTAGCCATTAACGTGTGATTAAATTTAGTGAATCCCCCCCGCCGTGAACTGCAGTTGTTCTCTTAATGTGCCGATCCAGTGGGTTGCAGGTGAGTATGTTCAGCTTAAAGACAGGTTGGTGGATTTAGAGAATGTAGATG